TGTAAATAATGTTAAATAGCTTTAAGTTGCAGCTTTTTTTTTAGTTTTAACTAAAAATATGAAAGAATTAAAATTTTCCAAACGTCTATTAGTAAATGTAGAAAACTCACGAACAATAAAATATCAAAAAAAAATCAAAACATCAGAAAATCAAAAATAAATGGGCAAACTTTTTATCAACTATTAAATAATCAAAATAATACTGGTGGTTTTGATAGTAATTTTGGTGGTGATTCTTCTGGTGGTGAAAATGGTTCTGATGCCAATAATTTTAGTGGTGGTTCTTCTAGTAGTAGAAATAGTTCCAGTGCTGATAATTTTGGTGATGGTTCTTCTGATGAAAATAGTTCTGATGTTGATAATTCCAATGTTGATTTTGACAATGCTAAAAATGCATAATTGAATGCATTAGTTAATATAATTGAAGATAAACTAAAACTTAAGGATAAATATTTAACTTCAAGATATAAGCTGCAACTTAAAGCTATTTAACATTATTTACAACTTCTCAACAAAGAACATGCAAAATTAGAAGCAAGTCAGACTGTTGCAGATCTTCTAAATCAAGGAATATGGTTTGCTTATTGTGTTAGAAGTTAGACTAAAGCATTTATTGAATATGGTAATATTCCTGATAGTAATCGTAAAAAACATCTTAGAGGAACTAGTATTTTTGATAATGAGGGTATTCAAATAAAAGTTGCATTATATTTACAACAATATAAATTTGATATAACCGTTTATGTCTTTTACAATTATATTTCCAATTAAATTTTACCTTCTGTTGGTATAGAAAAAAAAATAAAATTAGGTATTTGTTTTATTATATTTGTATTTTATAAATTACTTTATTTTATAAATATGTTACTAATGATTTTTACATTTTATAGTAAATCTACAGCAATTCAGTGGTTAAAAAAAATGGGATTTATTTTTAGTCAATATACAAAAGGAATGTATATTGATGATCATGAAAGAGATAATATCATTACCTATCAAAAAGAATTTCTTGAAATCATGTTCTGATAACAAATTTATTTTTATTTAATTAATTTATATTATATTATATATTTATATTTATATTTTATATATATAAGTTTATAGTTATTAAAAATTAATGTCAAAATTTACTGGTAATGAACTTGAAATTAAAATTAATCCAGAATTAGAAGGTAAACAACAAATACATATTCTTGTTACCTATGATAAAACAACTTTTCAATCAAATGATGGATAAAAATCAGGTTAGAGACTTAAAAATAAGCAATCTTTATGAAAAAAGGTTAAAGAAGAACTATTCATGTTAGTGATTTTTTAACTGATACAATTGGAAGATTAAAATTAAATGAAGAAGAGATTAATGGCACAATTTTAAATGAAGCTTGTGTTGTAATTAATCTCAGGAAAAATTTTGATAAATGGTAGAATATTGATCAATTAATTGATCAGGTATTTTTTTTTTTTTTATTATAATAAATTAATATAAGTTAAATTATTAAATTAAATAAAAAACTAATATAATTTAAATT